TTTAAAAGTCATTTTGTGCTTTTTCCCTGCTTGTCCATGCCACAGTGTTTTGGTTACCAAATATTCTGATGCAGAAATATGGAGACTTAAGCAAAAAGGTGAAATGGAGGTACAAAAATAATCCCATCTGCTTGTCGTCAACCAATCAGCAAGCTATTGCTGTAAGTGCCTCCGCAGTAGTTTGTGTTTGAACATAAAGTACCTGGTCCACAGTGGGAATTAAAAAGGGTTTTGGAACTGCCTCTGAGGAACTGCAATTGTGTCGAGTTCCTGTGGTGTGAATGGTTCTGGAAAAAGGTTCTGGTTCCAGTGGTGTGAAAGCGCGCATTGTTGTCAGTCCAACAGCAAGTGATTATGTGTATAATGTAATAAAAATATTTTTCTTTATGTTTCATTCATTTTTTCCTTTCATGGACAAACATTTGATAGGAAATTATATATATGACCAAATAAAAAGACTAATCCTAACTTCTTACCTGTGAAACTTCAAAAATAGACAATAAAATAGACATTAGCACACACATTTTTATATTTTACGAAGTGATATTTCAAATTTATCAAATGTTTTCCTTCAATATGCAGATATTTTAGCAAGCTAATTCACAACTCGCAGCATGAAAATTACTGCAAAAAATGTGAATTGTAAAACTAATTTAAATACCTCAGCAACAATGGTCCAGACATACATGCATTTCGGTTAGGGTTAGGGTTAGGTGTGGGCCCTCCGGGGATGTGAACCCAGGATCACATGCTCCAGGGATGTGAACCCATGATTGTTAGCACAATGTTCTATATGCTGGGCTACAGGAGCACTACCAAAGCCAAGCTTTCCCAGACGCCAGGGTTACACGTACGTGTCTCATCCTCCATCTCGTCAAGGGCATCCAGGATGTTTAAGTCATCGGACAGAGCTATGATGCACAGAACAGGCAGGGCGGTAAGAAACACATCTGCTCTTAGATACTCCTCCTAGTCTAAGTATATAAAGCTTCCCCAGTATGGATGTACAGGCAAACAGAACAGTGCACTTTGCAGCAAGGTCTGGCTTTCCTAATGCAGTCGGTGCTATTGACTGCATGCATGCATACTGCAATAAAAGCACCATCAGAGAATGAAGCTGCTTTTGTGAAACAGAAAGCGGTTTTCATTCCATCAACCTACAACTCATCAGTAATGCCAGTCTGGTTTTAATAAATGCCATTGCACATTGACCTGGATCCATGCACGATGCTTTATTTTAAGAAACAGCAATGTAAGCCGTTTATGTATGTTAAACAAGATGTATGCCAGAATTTTTGCATATATAAGTTTTCCTTTGACTAATGTGTGCTGGTACTCCTCACAGGAGACAGCGGTTATTCATATAAACGCTGCCTTTTAACCCCATTCCATCAACCAGGTAGAGAAGAGGGATGCCGGCCATCTTTTATTTGTTTTTGTAAGTTTCCGTCCTTGTCCAGCTTGGTCAGCTAACCTCATTAACTGAGGAAGTCACATTACGATTCAACATTTTTTTTGTTGCTTGTGACACCAGCAGATGCAGTAAAAGATGAAATGATTTGATGTTCCTCTATTTTGGACACTATAAAGTCTGCCATTCACCTTCTGAGATAATCCTTTTTTCTTCCTCTCGTTTATCTCTGAAACGGCCTTGCAAACATAGGATGTGCGCATTTATATACATGTGGCTAATTTGCATTGCCAGTTTACGGTAATTTCTGGGTGGGAATGGGCCAGTCTCTTAAGTGCACACACCTGCAAACATCTCTGCGATACATAAGATTTATAAACCTGTACAGTGCGTACCATGATTTACGCAAGGTTTTATAAAGCTACCGTTTACTATTCATATGAGCATTTGAGTTTTCGTAGATACGTACATTGTTCCATAAGAATGTATGAAAATGTTTATAAATAAGCTCCCACGTCTCCTAAGCTTTTCTCAAAAACATCTCCCGCCCCAGGTGACATAAGAGACTGTCAGTCAGTAGAACACCAGCTTCCAGGTGTGATTAATAATGAAGAAAAGAGCTGCACTCTGGCAACAGAAACGTGTTACAGGTCAGACTTCTGCAGCTGTAGAGAAGCAGGGAGATCAGAAAGGGCAGAAGATGCAGGGATGAAGATCAGGAGGACATAGCATGCAGAGCTCTGCACCAAACATCCCAGGTACCAGTGACACTGTGTGCATTAAGCATGGACAGCTGGTGGCCTGGTAGTCAAGAATGTGGCCCCTTACTCACAGGCTTCCGAGGGTCGGCTATTGGAGTACCTTAGACCTATCACCTGGGAAAATTACTCTGATGAAATATCCAGCCACTTTACTCATACTACACATTACTCTGGAGAGCGTGGACAGGCAATACGGTGGGTAGCACTGTAACCTGATAACCCCTGACTTATATAGTCCCTTACCTACAAGCTTCCGAGGGTCGGCTATTGGAGTACCTTAGACCTAGAACCTGGGAAAATTACTCTGTTGAAATATCCAGGCCATTCATGTCCAGCTACTCATACTACACATTACTCTGGAGAGCGTGGACAGGCGCCATGGTGCCTCAGTGGATAGCAAGACTAACTTTCAGAGGCCATTTAAGCCTTGTTCTGGTCATATTGTCATGCTCTGCATTCCTCTCCCCTCGTTCTCTCCATTGTGTGGCTCTAATGAGCCATATCTGTTACTTGTTTAACCCTTCCTCTCGTTAGAGCCCTCGTGTGGATCACCCCAGGTGCCTCTTGTCTGCTCCCTCGTCAGTGGAGTATATAGTGCCTCCTTGTCTTGAGCTCCCCAGTCAGGTCATTGATGTTGCTGCCTGCTTGTGCTCCCCAGTTTGCCCTGCCTCCTGATTCTCTCTACCCTGCTTTGACCCCTTGTACTCCATTTCCTTTTGTTTTGCTTGTTGTTTGTCTAAATATAGCCTTTTTTTTTCCCTACGCTTGCCTTTGTTCCCGTCCTTGCCTAGACGTGACACAAATCACTTCTGTTATAGTCAAAATACAATGTTTGCTACATAAATATACCATATAGAACCCAAGAGGACAATTCAGAAAGTTCCTCTGTCAGAAGTGGCATCCTTCTGCTCTTTTGTCTGCAGCACAATGTTCCTTTAAGCCGACATATTAGCTGCTTTAACTCTCCAGGCAGTAGATGTCATCATTCAAGGCTGTTACGGCTGTACAGGTCAAATTTGTGAAGGTTAACTTAGTGAATTTTCATTAGTTTGATGCCTATTACAATCTAGCACCAACTACACATGCAAGATCAAAGGTCATGAAGAGAAGTGAAGTCACATGCACTGGGATCTTACTTAGCCTTCCTTTGGGTCTGGCTGGCATATTAGTGACGGTCTTCATGCCATCTAGAAAATGTAACATTATGATCAAAAATCATAACTAGTGGCAGAAGGTCTTAGGAGAACCAGTGTCATTTGTTTTGGATCACTGATCATGAAATAAAGGTTTCTTGCAAATTGTGAAATGAAGACATCACTGGGTTAAAATAACTGTTTGTGCCATGTATCTTTTTGCTTCCCATCACCAACACCTTCTCTCAGCCAATAAACTTTCCACATGGGAAAAAACTGCTTAACCAATTGAATCCGCTTAATATAACAGAGACAAGCCAGAAATGAAAGACACACAGACCTCCAGGGCTCCCTCCGCCTGCTCCTCCTGCACCTCCTCCAGTTGCTCCTGGATTAGGCTTCATTGTAGCTATACAAAAACAGAAGACATGCTGTCTTTATTTATAATATTGACCCTCACATTTAGTGAATGGAAAGCTGAAATAGTGATGTTTACAAAAATCAAGAATTCAGAATTTCTAAAATCCCGATCACAATCTTCATCTGTACCACTAACAAATGGAAAAAAAACAAATGCAATTTTTTACAGAACATCTTTCCACTGTTAATAATGTGAGACGTTACTGGTGCATGACATTCAGCCCAGGTTAGTGAGTCAGGAAATGGTACCTACGTGTTTTGTCCTGGAGTTCATCAAGGGCGTCGAAGAGGCTTAAGTCCTGGCAAAATACTACGACACACAGAACAGGCAAAATGGTCAAATGCACAGAACTCTTAACCATTATGTAAGTATTCTGAGCATTTAAAATGGTGCCATTAGGCCAACATAAGCCCCACCTCCAACCAGAATGGGAATAACCTTTTCTCAGAAACGTGTATTTTTCATTAAGCACCTAATTTGTGATTGGCTAGCTATGTCTGTCTGTGGACAGGGGGTGATGATGGCAACGCAGAGAGGGGCATTCCCACTGTGGCTTGAGGGCCCAGTCAGCCAGACACCTCCCAGGCCAGATGACATAAAGGCAGAGCAGCACTCTGAAAGCAGACACGTGTCACAGCTTCTGAATTACAGGAAGTGGGTGTGAGATTTCAGTCTATTACACGCATCTTACATCCACATGACACATCCTGCAGCAAAACGTGGCAACACCTGCGACCGCCAATCCCTCCTGCAGATCAGTAAAACAGAAGATACTTCCCAGGATGGCTCTGATGTCTCTGCTGGACCATTACAGTGTCCGCTTGCACCATCAGAGACTATGCCAATCCTCATGCCAACTCTGTGCGCCCAAGTCGCCTGCTGGAACCGAGGACAGCGAGGCTTAAAAGCCGCTTTTCCCTCAGACTGTTTGACTGCTGAAAAGCAGACCCCCCCACCCTAAGTCTGACTTCTGCTCTAAAGTCACAGCACTACATATAAATCTATTTATTTATTGCACATTCTGTTTCAATGCCAAACCTTTGAATCAATCTGCACAACTGTCCCCACCAATCAGGTGGTTAGCTGTCTCTATCTTAATGCCATGTCTATTATGTTTACATGTCTTACTATTACGTTTATAATTGCGCACCCCCACTTCTACAGGCTCGATGTGCTCAGTGTGCACATCTTCTGTGCGTGTGTGGGTTTCATTTACGGAAGCATCAATGACATCAATCACACAGAACTATTGACAGAGGTGGTGAAGGGGTGGTATATTTTCAAAGGAGATGGTTTTTGTTCTTTATTACCATTTGTGTGCATCCCATGACACCAAGCCCCAAAAGGGTACAGCAAAACATACATAAAGATAAAATTGCTGGTATTGAACAGAATTAAAATAACTGTAGTGATTGGTATAAAATTCAGACAGTTTTGCCAGCATTTGAAATCAGTCTAGTGCTTCTTAAAATGTTAGTTAAATTTTAGGGAAAAAACTTGGTGTATACGTGGAAAAAAGTATTCGGTGAAAATCAAATGATGCTACTGGTAAAGTGACTAAACTGGTTTTCAGGGAGAATTGCTCTGTGAAACTGGTGATTTATTGATGGTGTGGAACAGCGCTTCTCTGGCAAGAAGAAACAGCCGCATGTCAACTGAGTTATAATACAGAACTGTAATGACAGCTGGCTGATTAACAAAGGTACACCATTCCTGGATAAAACAGCTTGCTGATCAGTGGAGTCTCATTCCAAAACAGACCCTCTAATACAATCACATCCTGGTCTGCTATTCATGGGCAAATTCAGAAAAGCTAATTCACTGGAATTCACTGGATTATCTGCTTGTTGGGAGACACATCCGTTAGATATGGCTGAGGAACAAACCTCAACATAAACACAGAGTGGATGTGGAATTCGAACCCATAACGCTGAAGGTGCAACACAAATACAGTCCGCGTGATTTATCAGCTGTGCTACCTTCTGTATACTGGGCAGATCCTTTGAGGTGACAAAAGACTTTTTTTGTACAAAAGGTTGCGCAGAATTCTACATCGTCTACAGATGATCGCATCGGACATTACCTTATTATCTTAAATTACCTTAAACATTAAAACAACTAAGTCTGCAATATTAAATAAAAAATTTCATAAACTGAAATAAGCGGTTAATTCAATTCCGGAAGCGCTATCAAAATACACCAACCAAATAATCGCTGGGCAAAAGGCAAGGATTTCCAGGACTTTCTAAAATAACGGTCAACTCAAATTTCCAACACAGTTGTTCAGGAAAAACTGAGTGGAACCCGCGTACAGGGACAAAGACTTAGTGAGACATTTAGCACTGCTGTGGCGAAAAAGAGGGAAATGCATCAGCTTTAATAACGTGGGGACCAGAAGCGACTTTAACACCAACACCGGCAAAACGGCAAGCACTTAAGAAAAGTTTTGCGACTGTACACTGGTTTATAATAAAAATCGGACCCGCTTCGGTGTATATACGAAATGTTTAATCTCTCGCTGTTACGACCCGGCCTCCCGTGTCCCCAGTGCGTGCGATCGCACAATCCCCAGCCCGACCTACACCAAACTAGCGTGGGGTTAAACCTGTATCGCAAACTCAGCAATTACTATGCTATACGCTTTTGTTGTTTGACACATTACATTTCATTTTCCGATCATTTATTAATGAAGCTTTATTCATTTTAACAAGCCAAACTAAACGCGTTCAGAAAAAAGTAAAATCCTTACCTTTTATAGCCAGCACAGAAAATATTTTCACGAAAAGTAACGGCGGACATTTAGCCATAACTGCAGCTTCACTTAGTGACGTTGATGTATGTGCGGTTATTTCCAAATAAAAAAATCAGCAATTTTCTTTATGGGTGAGGTTTTGGAGAAGCACGCGAGTACCCGTGCCGACAGCAGCGCTCAGGGGGCGTCCCCTGCAGTCCCCTCGCTGCCACCTCCTAAAAGCGGCACTGCTGCGTCTCCGGGCCGGGCGGCACGCTTATTAACCTACAGAAGTCATTCTTTATTTATCACTGTAACACTCCTTAAAGTTTGCCCGAACTGTGTGATAGATAATCTGGGAGTTAAGGACAGAGGTCCAGTTGTCTTGTTCTTGTTAGTCTGTTTCATGACTGCATGAAGGGATTCTCCCTGTGAAAGTGTGACGATTTTTTTGGGAGGTGGGGAGGGAGTCAGTGAATCGATCACTGTAGCTTTAAGATCATGCCGAATCGGCTATTTTAGGGGCGATAAGTCACAGCGTGACTCACACTCTTTCGGAATAACAGATCCCTGTTGCTATAATATGAAGTTTCACCTGATGGCAATTCATAATTACCCAGAAATATTTCTATTTAAATGTACCTGTCAAAAAGGAACATAAATACTCGGGAATCACAATCACTAAGGAACTAAAGGGAAGAAGAAAAATAAAGTTGGAAAGTAATTTAAAAACGAGCAAGACATTTTGAATAGTTGACCACAAAGGGACACTTCTGTTTTTGGAAGAAACCGAAAGTATATTGAGATCTATGTACTCTGCGTACTCCTTTATTATTAAACGACTTTAATTAAAGTCGTTACAATTTCATGTGGAGTGCGAACCATCACATTAGAAAGGTCACGTTTTAGACAGGATAACCTTTCAGTGAAGGTTTTCTGCATGTGACTGACTCAGGTGTGGATGTGGGCAGTTATTAGATCCAGGCAATTTGCCTGGTTTTTGATTTCCTGTGAAGTTTTAGGGGCATGCAATGGTCAGAGGATTTGACCCTATGGAGGGCTCAGCCTCTTGAAGAAATACTAAATGCACACACACACATCAGTCCTAATTACAACATGGGGTACAAAATGAAAATGGAAATACAAGACAAATCATTAATCAGCAGGCAATGATTCGTCCACTGGGCCCCTGTGTTTTATTATCACCAGACCTACACTGCACCTGAGCCCCACGGCTCCCCCTGCAGGCAGTGGGCCCACAGGAGAGAGGACCTTTTATGTTTTACTTTTAAAACGTCTTTCAGAAGAACAAGGCTCTCAAGTCCAAATCTTTCAGCCTTTTACAGAACCATGCGCACCTTTCTGCCTCTTATAGAACCATGTGCACCTTTCAGCCTCTTACAGAACCATGTGCACCTTTCTGCCTCTTATAGAACCATGTGCACCTTTCAGCCTCTTACAGAACCATGTGCACCTTTCTGCCTCTTATAGAACCATGTGCACCTTTCAGCCTCTCTCTATCTACTGGAGCTCACTGAGATAAATACTTTAAAAGAAAACGACGTCCTCTTCTTATTGTTTCCTATTGTTGTGTTATTTGAAAATCTGATGGATCAGATTCCTCTTTAGCATAAAAATGGAGCAGATAATTCGTTTCCTGTCATCGGATACTGTCCATATGTAGCTTGTTATATGATATGTATGGTGGTGACTGTAAGGGCAGCAAACAAAGATGGCCAGGCATTGCCACACGGCGGCCTCTAATGGCCAAGGCCACCTGGCAGCTGCCCCTTTCAGGCCCCTGAAGAACAGGCAGTGACAGGAGGGAAGGGGCGAGAAGGAGCAGCTAGCTGGGCAAGCTGGAGAACCAAACACCAGCTTATTCTGAAGCACATCTCTGGGCTTTACTTTATTGACAATTTTGTGTTTCCCTCCAGAGTTACAGAGGTCCCTTTAATTTTCAAACAGCGATTCAAATAACAAGAGAAAGTGACATAACTGTTCATCGGTATCTGAATTCCACAAATCGCCATGAGGAACACATGTGTTAATGTGTCAGACATGGTACCCATGGGCAGATTAAGAAATCAGGGGCCACTGGGCATGAGCCCCGCAGGTAACTGAAGGAACTTTAGGCCCCCCAAAACACGGGGCCTTAATAATTAATTAAGAGTTTTAACTGGGGTAAATTCAAATTTGGCTTTGAAAATGTAAGTAAAATAAAAACGTTCTAAAATACAAAAAGTCTGACTCAGACTTTTCACAGATTACTAAAAGATTCGAGATAAAAAGCACAGCATCCAAAGTCAGTCTGCGTGCTGTAAACATTAAGCTTGCAGTTCAAAGCCATCACACCAATACCGAAAAGTGCGGAGGGTCAAACGCTAACCCCTGTTTTACCCATGATTTACACTGGATGCGTATCCGCTGCGGTGCGTTTCCGACACGGCAGCCGCAGGCAATCGCCGCCAATAAAGTCAATGCATCAGTTTACACCAGATCCGCTGCGTTGCGTCTCCGCTACGTCTCTGTTCCGTCACACGTCCGGCACTCCATCGAGATGCGCATCAAGTCTATTTTTGACGGATACGGATCAAGAACGCAACACAGAGCGCATGCGTCAACTTCCCTTCACATCATGGACAACGAAAAGTTAATTTTGGAGGTGGAAAAACACGGAATTGTGTACGACCCCAGACATCCTTTTTACAAGGATAATAGTAGAAAGGAGAAGGCATAGAGTGAAACTGCAGAAGTTTTGGGATTTGACGGTAAGTTGAATCTTCCAATTAACTATGTAAATACTTGATTTTTAATGAAAGTAACCTGTACTGTGAAGTACTTGTAAACACCTAATAAAGTGTTCAGTAACCTACATGGGATTGACACATTATTTTATCCATAGAAACATAGATAAATGTTATGTTAAATGTTATTCTCCCGTGATCATGTGATCTTGCAAACCAGCGGCGCGCCGGATCAGACACGGACCACAAAGCGTCCAGTGCAAATTGGCGGACGGCCTCGGACGGAATGGGAATGCAGCGCAGTCGCACCGCAGCGGATACGCATCCAGTGTAAAACAGGGGTAAATCCACTGCCGCAAAACTGGCACCTTCTTCAACCTACACCTGGAGGCTGCAATAGCGTCTGCTGAACTGAAGGGGGAGACAGCAGAGCTAAAACCCACAGGTATGATACAGACACCCAACAGTCACAAACAGCCCATTTAATTATTGCTATTTAAAATTTATTTTGTTGTTCTGTTTCCCAAAGGTGTTCAATCTCTCCCTCCAACTGTAAAAGGTTCTACATTGTTTGGTGGAGATAATTCCCTCATTGACTTGACCAGTGGAAATGCGTTACTATAATTACAATACTTTTGGCAGTAACGAGTAATGGAACTAATTACCTTTTCAAATTAAATTAGGCAATTAAAAGTATTTAATTTAAATGGGTTTGTTACTTGTTGCTTTTGTCTTGCGTGAAAATATTAACATACACAGCCTGTTCCCCTAATTTCATGTTTATGATCTAATGTCATCCTACCTTATGGTGAATGTGTGATATTAGGTACAGTGATAGATAAAGTTGGACAGTTGTATTGTCTTGCACTGTTACAGCACTGTCCTTTCTGGACTTGATTCAAGTGCATTCAACACAACAATTCTAGGCCCAGCTGCTGGCAGAGAAGCTCAGAAGGATTGAGGTGAATGATGTCTTGACAGCCTGGAAAACGGACCTCCCATGCAGCCCTCAGCATGTCCGCCTCAGTGGCCTCATGTCACAGGCAGTACTGAGTAGCACAGAGCACCTCAAGGGACTGTGCCTTTGCCATTCCTGTTCACTCTCTACAGCACCGACTTCTGGAACAACACCGGCCTTTGCCACCTATAGAAATTCTCAAATGATTCTGCAACTGTGGGGCGCATCAGTGAAGCGGAGAAAAAGGAGTACAGAAGTCTAATGGAGAGCTGTGTTATATGGCATAAGGAGAACCACATACAGGCCAATGTCAAGAAGACAGAGGACTGGGTGGAAGGACTTCAGATGAACCAGTCAACTACCATGTCACCATCCGTGGGGCATGTCTAGAAATTGTCCACAGTGACAAGTAGCTGGGAGTCACCATCCACGGGGTGAGGGTAGAGATGGTCCACAGTGACATGTAGTTGGGAGTCACCATCCACGGGGAGAGTGTAGAGATGGTCCACAGTGACATGTAGCCTGGAGTCACTATCCATGTGGTGAGTGTAGAGATGGTCCGCAGTGACATGTAGCTTGACATACTTATTTGTCATATTTTAACTTTGCTTATTGTCTTTTATAGCATTGTGCAACAATCTTAACGTTGTTGTAATGTACAGTGTCAATGATACATGAGCAATGAAAATAGAGATATTCATTTTGCATAGCAGTGTATTGTTTTACATGTAATTCTTATGAAATGCATTATGTTTATTACTGGTCTTCCTTTACATATTTATTGACCTTTAATATTGACATTATATTTGGCTGTTGTATTCCGTTTTTTTCTGTGCTACTGGACAAACACAGGGATCATCCACCCATTTTCTGTACTCACTTGTCCCATTCGGGGTTGTGTGGGGTCTGGAGCCTATACTGGGAGCTATAGGTGCAAGGCAGGGAATAACCCAGTAGAGAGCTCCAACCCATCAAAGGGCACACTATTCACATCTGTAGCCAATTTGGCAACTCTCAATCATCTCAGCATGTTTTTGGACTGTGGAGGGAAACCAGTGTACCTGGAGGAAATGCCATGATGACACGGGGAGAACATGCAAATGCCACAAACGGAGCCATGGCAGAGACTCGAATGCTGGTCCCAGAGGTGTGAGGCAATGGTGCCAACCAATACACCACCATGTAGGAATTAGTGAAGTTTAACCTTAACTATAGTAAGTATGTCCTAACCAGCCCTGTGCTGCTAATGCAACAATCATACATTTTAAGAGCTTAATCCTGCAAACCTCAGATGTCAGATTATTTCAGTTATATTTATTTTGCAGGCACTTTTGTCCAAAGCAACAAACATTTGGGGAAGATGGTGACGCAGGAGGTAGTGCTATCGTTCAGCAATTGGAGGGTTGCAGGTTCGAGCCCTGGTTCCTCCTGACCCCATCAAAGTGTCCTTGAGCAAGACACTGAACCCCAAATTGCTCCCTTGCACGGCAGCCTTTGCCACCAGTGTATGAATGGGTGAATGTGAGGCATGAATTGTAAAACGTCCATTTACAAAGTCCATTTACCAAACATTTAAGAAGGAAGGGCCAGTCAGTCCCCAGAGCAACTGGAGATAAGGGCCTTAACCCTGTTCCACATACTGCAGTACTACATAAATGTTTCACTGGGCAAAGACATCTAGGTCCAGATCTACTACTAGCAATGGGGTCTACCTGACTGGACTTCTGATCATTGTCACTGGACAGCAGCTCTCGGTTGGATGGGAAATCCCAAAGCTGGACATCTATAGAGACGTTACCCCGCAGGCTGCTGAGCACGAGAATCCTTGGTGCCGTACCGATAGAGACGTTACCCCGCAGGCTGCTGAGCCTGAGACTCCTTGGTGCCGTACCGATAGAGACGTTACCCCGCAGGCTGCTGAGCCTGAGACTCCTTGGTTCTGTACTGATTGCTGGCCAGGGTCTCTGCTACGAGACCTCAGATGAGCTGGCTGTGCAGGAGAAGTGGAGCCTGCATGTTTCCAGGTCTGAAATATGTGAATCTACATCTACAACCTCTATGTAACCCAGTAATGTAGCATATTTATTCTCACCTCCAGTAAAAATCCTGTGTGTTTATCCCCTCCAGCCAATGCTGTGCTCTGGTTACCAGCGTTTATTCTTCATTCTTGTTTCTCGTTTCTCTTCTTGTTATATGTTTGTTTCATTTATTATGTTTCTTACCTGTGCTACCCTTTTATTTATTTAGATAGATAGATAGATAGATAGATAGATAGATAGATAGATAGATAGATGATAGGTAGATTTGTTTAACTTGGCATCTACAAGCTTAAACAATATTTCATTGTATTTGTACAGTGAAATAAAGGTGTCTCCTTCATCTTCTTCTTTGTCTTCTTTTCTTTCGTCTCCATCCTTTTCTTCTTCTCCTTCTTCTTCTACAGCCATAATCAGTTAATTGGTTTCCCTAAATTCTCCATAAGGTGTGTTTGTGTGAGTGGTGTCCGATGGGATGCGTCTAGGCCCTGTACTTTCCCTTAGCGAATAAGTAAAACATGCAAAGTTCTCACATACCTTTCATTTTTATAAATAAAAAAAAATCGAGAAGTGATGTGTGACACCATCTGTTTACATTATTTAAAAACTTTTGAGATTTTCAGAATGGGTGACACTACCCACGGCTACACCAATCAGAGGATAGATGCTCCGGGCATTTACAGGGGCGTATCCAATCAGCGACTCCGGAGGCCCTTTTAAACTACCGTGGCTTCTAACCAATCAGTGACTGTGGAGGCTGTTTTAAACTACCGGGGCCGCTAGCCAATCAGGCCGGTCTCGTATCGAGCTAGCGCGAGGCTGTGTACATAGCTTTTATAGCGAGAGGACTCCGGAGCTCACTGCTACGTGCGGAGAAGCAGCACAGGTACGTCTCTGTGTCATGGGTATTTATTTTTAGCTGTTGTTTCGTCTGCGGTTAATTATTATTATTGTAAATTTGAGCTGTTATTACAGCATCCTTTTTTTTATTATTGTGTGATGCGTTTCGCAAGAAATGCCGTTTTCTAAAAAATAATTTTTGCAGTATTTTAAATATCCGACCTGCAATATTTGTTTCATACGTGACTATGATAATTCCTCCAATACGTAACCCGTACTTTACGACAAGTTAAATGTGTTTGTATAAAATTTGGTAGTGCCTGTGTAAGTGGCCCAGGGACTCGATAATATGGTTAAGTTCTGCTGTCGTGTGTTTTACAATTTCGTCCCACTTTGCTAGTTAAATGCGTGATTTTCAGCCGATCAGATCCTGCGCCACGGTGTGCGGCTCTTATTTCTGCGCTGCGGGTGGCTGCCGCGGCCCTTTAAACCTGCGCTGTTATCGATGCGCTCCGGCGGCGTTTAATGCGCCATCACTGTATGTCCCCGATATACTTCAGCGTGTCGTGCTGAGTGAAGTGGCAGAGGAACTTTTGTAAAACGCTCGAAATATGCACTACATGGAGAAATGGTTGCGATTGCACGGTATTAAAATGGCTGGCGATTTAAGCCACTGACAAGAAACGACTCCGAGCAAGCAGCCGCTGGCAAATCCCTTTTAAATCTAATGCATTTCCTCGCCTTCCTAGAAACTTTATCGTGTTAAATTTCTTCCCCAGAAAGCATTTCTTTACCTTACTAATGTGAAATAGCCGTGTCATTTCTGTTGTTTTATTCTTTCCAACTTATCGGCTTTGCTCAGCAGTGACTGTGTTACAGACATGGCTGCGCATCGCGTTTGGTACAGGCGGCGGTCCATCTAGCCTAACTCGCTAGGAGCCCGTTTGCCTTTATCTTATGTAGCCTGAGCAGAAATGCCCCCGAATACATGCCTATAGGAACCGAAAAGTGCTCTTGGAAGTGCGGCGAGCGGCCCTGTCCTGCAGCTGGGGGGTGTGCCGCTTTGTTGCGCACTAAAGCCCCGCAGGCTTCCGCTGGCTTCCTTCGCAGGAGCCATTTTAATGAATGGAGAGGAGCCGCCGCTCCGCTTCGCTATGGTTCGCTACAGTGCGCTTCTGCTGCGGCGATGTGTATAAAGGCGACACGGGCCAGATTGGGCGAGGCTGCGGCTCTCAAGCAAAAAATCACACCCGAAATTTCGATGCACGTTAAAATTAAGAGGCACTTTCTCTCACGCTGAGGCATTTCACAAAATGGAAGGTTAAAAACAAGTCGTTTTCTGGACGCCCCCCCCCCCCTCGTCACTTCAGACGGACAATTCTCACGTAAACGAATCGATTGCGAGGGTACATGTACATTTTGGCAGCGTAAAGCTTACATCTAATAAACTGCACACTTTTTACGTAAAACGCGGAGTTTGTGCGACTGAAGCTGCGTCGATAGCACCGTGCATTTTAAGCTGCTTAAACCTTTCACTCAGCACAACTTGGCAAAACTTACCCGTTCACTTACCACGAACTTCTCATGTAAAACTATACATGAATGAAGACTAGGGTCTGCTCTTGGTCTCTAACCTTCCCTCTTCGTCGTATTTAGTTAATTATTTCATGCAGACTTACTTGCTAACGCGTTTAGACTCTCCAAGGAATATAATATTTAAAGGCCACGGACTGATGATTCTCCCACCTCCTCTCTGTTGCAGGGACAAATTAAAAGGTTCAGAGAAATAAAATCGACTAAGGAGAATGGCAAAGGGTGACCCCAAGAAGCCGAAGGGCAAGATGTCCGCCTATGCCTACTTTGTCCAGACGTGCCGTGAGGAGCATAAGAGGAAGAACCCCGACATTCCCGTGAATTTTGCCGAGTTTTCCAAGAAGTGCTCCGGCAGATGGAAGGTGAGCTGTCTGTCATCCTGACTTGACCAAGCAGAGGATCAGTATCCAGTCCTTGAGTATGGCATCTCCGTTTGGTCTGCCACATTGGGCAGGCGTATTTACTGGTTTTCTGGACATAACTGCCTAGTCTAGAATAATAATAATATGAAATGTCCTAATGGTCTTATTTCCAGAAACTTTCCATTCCAGGGGAAGCTGGGGAATTTTGGAAATAAGGAAAGTTTCCAACTTGGATTGGGAATTAATGGAGAATTCCCATGATTTTGCAACCCTGGTCTTAGTGCACTTTAGTGTGAAGTGTTTGGTTTGACGTGATTTGATGTATCCTGAGTTTAATGGCTAAAATGCATACATGTTAACCTTGTCCCTGCTTGTGGGTTTTGCTGAATAGCGTTACCTATCACAGGAAGTACTTTACTGCTTGAGAACTTGGTCCTTTTCAGAGCAAGTCAACTGGCAGTTTTGGCCCATTATCAGGAGCTGCTGCTTACACAGCTTGAGTTTGTCTTCTCAGACCATGTCCCCGAAGGAGAAGTCCAAGTTTGAGGACATGGCGACGCAGGACAAAGCCCGCTATGAGGAGGAGATGATGGCCTACCCTGTTGGTCCAAAGGGCAAGAAGAGCAAGAAGGACCCCAGTGCTCCCAAACGGCCCCCGTGAGTCTCTGCCTTTGCTCTGTCCTTGGTGGCATTATGCAGCTTCCATTTAGGTTTGCCTGGTGGATGAACCCCTCCGTAGTGGGTGGTAATCATCAGTCAGGCCGTCCCTCAGTTATGGGCTTTTCATGCTGAAGTAGCTCACTGTTCATCAGATCTGGATTCTTCCTGTTCTGCTCCGAGTACCGTCCCAAAATCAAAGGCCAAAACCCCAGCCTGGGGATTGGTGAGGTGGCCAAGAAGCTTGGGACCATGTGGAACAACATGACGGACGCCAACAAACAGCCCTACCTGGCCAAGGCTGGCAAGCTGAAGGACAAGTACAAGAAGGTGACTTGGGAGCCATTTGTCCCTGTATGCATGGTCTGGCGTCTGGACGGTCTGGCTGAACAGTCTGTTTTCTTACAGGACGTGGCAGACTACAAGCACAAGGGCAAAACCGGTGGGGCAACCGCTTCAAAACCTGCCTCAAAGAGCATGCAGGATGATGATGATGAGGAAGACGAGGAAGAGGAGGAGGAAGACGAGGATGACGATGACGATGATGATGAATAGATGTGTTCACAGATGGATTGTCATGGGTTTAGAAATGTCGGCGGTGCAATTTTATTAACCTCTCCCCGATTTAGTTTGGACTCGGTCTGATGTACTGAGATGATTACTTGATGGAAGCCACTTGACATCCCTATTCAGCTTGTCGTCATTGCTGTTCAGTGTCATCCTGACACATTTTGGTTTTTTAATTTGCTGACTATAGCTGGTAGTATTTAAATGAGTTTCTTTAAGAGCTGTTTGAACTGATTTACTTTTTTTTTTTTTTTTTTCTTTGGGTTTTAAAATTGCACAGGTCTAGGCTGTAGGTGTGTGTAAAAATATCGGCAGTAGCTAAGCTTGACTCGGAGCTGTTGGGTGAAGCAGACTGGCTAGAAATGGCTGTTCTGCTTCACGCTGTGGTCTTGGTCCTGTGGTCTTGGTCCTGTATTCTAGTAGCCTGTGATGCTTTACTTGGGCTGTGAGGTGTTGGCTGCTGAATGGGAATTTTTAACTATGAAACCCATCAACTGACAAGTGATAAGCATTAATGGTGGCTTTGAAAAATCTTATTTTGCATCTGAGATTTATTTTTTGTATATTTAGGGATGGTATGGTGTTTTGAAATAAAGTTGCATTTTTAGACTTATTTTTTCCCCCTCTGTATTCTTTTTCAGTTTCACTGGATGAAATGGAGGCTTTACGCATTGATTTTCTGTCAGTGCATATTGGAACTGAATTGACTGGCTACTTGAGGTTCTTTTCTCTGGAGCCTTCAGTCTGGGTGCAGTTGTCTGTATTGGCTTCATTTTAATCTCCTTTCTCTCTACTGGGTTCCTGGGCCCCTCCCATTATGTTTGGTGCCTGGACTAAATGTAGCCCTGCAGAGCAGTTAGTGACAGCATGCTGATTACTGTTTGAGCTTTATCCGAACATTCCGCGCATGTTTGAGGGAAATGCACGAACACTACGGTGCGAGATTAATATGCGAGTTAAATGTTCACTGGATCAATTGCCCCACCTTGTGTCTGGTGTCAGAAGTGTCGCTATTTTAGTTTACTATTGTAATGTGGAATGAACTGTCGAGGTCTCTGCTTGACAGATTTACCTTAAGCGACGTGAAATATGTTCGCATATTTAAATGTCGGTAAGACATTGTGATTAATTTGTACGAACAAATATTAGTTCCTCTATAATGTTTTCCTACGCTAGTAGTGAAACGAGTAGTGATGGACCTGTCGCCTTACCTATGCATACCTATAGACTTCCTAATAATTTGATTTAAAGTAATTCTGAAAGGTCCTATTCTAAACCTGTTAATTGGCTATTCAGTCTCAACTGTGGATGATTAGAGGTACTCGTGGTCGGTTGTAAAATGCTGTAATCGATCGCACAACAAAAGATGCTGATCACACTGTTTCAAGTGACACCGTGCCACACCGTACAGCTGGATGTGGCACAGCCGCCGTGAAGGGTGACGAGGTTGCGCAATTCAAAGGGGCCCTGAAGTATTTAGAACATTATTGCGTTGGGGACGCAATATATTATAAGCTTTCTTGGGGTCCAAAGTGAACCTGAAACCTGTCCGTGGAGGCAGAGGGCATAGGACCCCCGAGACGGGATACCAATCCATCCCAGTGGACAGCTCATGACGGTGAAAACAAAACGTACCCCTCAGAACCACATGGTCTATGTACGGTACTGTGCAGATTAACCCAATCTGACCCAGTGTTTTCGAAGAAATTCTGTGGCCCACTTTTCCAGTCCTTGGGGGGAAAAAAACACTTAAAGGCTGTCTAATTTCTTTGAACCGTCCAGATTTTGGTTTGTTAGTTTGTTTCGATCACGCGCATTTCGGCTGTGCTTCTGCTGGGCCCCGTTACACTATCTGACGTCACCGCGTCCCCAGGTACAGTAAGATAAAGGAAACCACAGCGTTTCCAAAATACATCCCGTCTGCCCACTAAGCTGGACCCTGGGCCGTTTTCTCTCCGTATCCTATGTAGTGTAAGTTAAATGTGAGAATGCGTTTCCGTGGTCTTTACCTTTCTATATTTAACAGTGTTATCATCGGCTGAAAACATACGGTAAGCAAAAATTACATGATTCAATACTGAGTTTAATATGAGCAATTTGGAATAACCTAGTTACGATTATTTAAGCATTAATCATAGGTCGATTATAATATAATGCATAACTTATATAAACACTCGTTTCGTTATAATATAGTTATTGAAAAGTTGACTGTTTGAGCTATATTTAAAAGCTACTGCAAACTTTGTAATGAAGGTCAGGTATCCGCGGTCCGGGGACAGGATGGCGGCGGAGCGGCGCGCGATGAATCCCTTCACTGACGCTGTGATTAACCTCGTCGCCGGATCCGCAGGTAAGCGCGCGCGCTCTGCACTCTTTCGTTTAACGCAGGCAAGGAATAATTTGTTACAATTATCTTTTTATTATTATTTACGGAATCAAAATAGGTTTAAAAGCAACTGCGGCAGGGCAGTTTGAAAGTAATGAAAAAGCGCTGGCAAAACACTAGCATTTTCCAGTATATTCTACTCAGACAGGGAATAACCTCTAAGAAACTCTGTAAATTAATTACTTTAAAATATTATTTTTGTTAAAGTTTTTCCATCCCAAGGATTGAGCTGTGGATTGTGTACAATAAGACTTGCGTTTAATTATCTTTCCCTGGTCTTTCCGTGAGTAACGTACGTTTTCATCCGCTTTAATATTGTTATCGGTTGATTTGCCGGCCGATGCAGGAGGCGCTGCGTGCGTGGCGTGCGGCCAACCCTTCGACACCGTGAAAGTGAAGCTGCAGACCTTCCCCAGCCTGTACCGCGGCTTCCTCCACTGCTTCCAGACCACGTACCGTCAGGGGGGGCTGTGGGGCCTGTATCAGGGCACCACCCCTGCCCTGCTGTCCAACATAGCGGAGAACGCCGTCCTCTTTGCCTGCTATGGCACGTGCCAAGAGCTTACAAGGAGGATTTTCGGGCTGGAGTCGGTTGGCCAGCTCAGGTGAGAGAGACAGTGGGACAGTGTTATGGGTGGGGTCTGCATACCTCAAGGTGATACTCTGAATTAGTGAAAGGTTCACAGATAAGCATGGCTTTTTACATGATATAAGCAGAACCTTTTGTGTGGAATGACTTTTAAAGTCAGTGATTTCATCATAGGTTGTGAGGTTTGAGGTGAATGGGGATTACTGATAAGTATACTGTATAAACAAACGAATCAATACTCCTGTCTCAGACCTCGTCCCTCCCTATCTGTCCCAGTCCACACAGCTGTCTCCTGCCTGTCCCAGTCCTCTCCTCTTTCTCCCTGCCTGTCCCAGTCCTCTCCTCTTCCTCCCTGCCTGTCCCAGTCCTCATCTCCATCTTCCTGTCCATCACAGTGACCTTCAAAATGCCACAGCTGGCTCCATGGCCTCCATCTTCTCTTCTCTGGTGCTGTGTCCCACCGAGCTGGTAAAATGCCGCATGCAGGCCATGCATGAGATGCGTACGGTGGGCAAGACCTCCCTGCTGTGCCGTGTGTAAGTTCCCTCTTTACACCTATATCTCTATGCTGTCTGCTTAATGCAATCAAGATAAACTGGAGATCTCCTCTGACCAGCTCCAGCTGGTCCATCGTGAAGAACATCCTGAAGAAGGAGGGCCTCCCTGGCCTCTTCCAGGGCATGACCAGCACCTGGCTTCGAGAGGTGCCGGGCTACTTCTTCTTCTTCGGGGGCTATGAGGTCAGCAGGACCATCTTTGTCAACTGCGGCTACTCCAAGAACGACCTAGGTAGGTCACACCGGGGTAACCAGGGATGTGAGGCGGTGTGATGCTTGCTGCCTAGAAGGTATGATCTAACCCTAACATATTTAGATGACAAATGAGTCAAATGTTTGTGATTTAATATTTTCTTTAATGTTTTGGAGTCCTCTGTATGTGTGCGTTTTCAGCAGTTCTGTAACCTCTGGCCCCCGGTATGTGAGTTTGTCTCGTTGATATGGAACCCCTTGTGTGTATAATTTATATAAACTACAGATATATACTGATGATCCACTCTGTAGAAAAACACACAAAGACAACGCATTTCAAACTTACACGCTACAACACAAACAGAAACAAACTGGCAAACTAACACAGGTGTAGATCTAAAGGCCGACTTTCCAGTGTGACCTCCTGGTCAGCGGACCGAGCTGAGCTGGTGAGGCAGCTGTCAACGATCCGGCAGACCTGCGTAAACAATGCAGGCCGACTGTAAAAATAGCCACACACTTGACGAGCTGCCATGGGTGGATCAGACCGGATTTACTGCATCCCTCAGTCCAGTGTCGTGTGCTGGGGGCACTCAAAGGGTTTGTTTGTTGCTGTCAGAGCACAGTGGCTTTAAATGGCAGAAACCGGGGGCTCTGTGACAAACAGTGAGTTTTCAAAACACCAGTTATTTGGTGAAAAAAATAGTTTAAACAGACTTAAGGCAGTTTAAACCCTGAAAAAAAATCACATGCAGCAGCACTCATGACTCCAGTGACATTGTTCTACTTAAAGCAGAAGAAAAACCACTGCAGAACTTTAGAAAAATATGTGGCATTAATTCTATTTCACCGTTTCTATTATTTTGGAAAAGTTTACCTTTCATTTAATTTCTGCTCTGTCTGCCCCTCCCCAGATGCCGCCGCCCTAGTGGTGAGTGGCGGGGTAGGCGGCTCCTTTTTCTGGTTGGCTGTCTACCCCATCGACTCGGTGAAATCACGCATCCAGGTGCTGTCCATGTCGGGCAGACAGGCTGGCTTCCTGGCGACGCTGGTCAGCATCCTGCGAGCTGAAGGTGAGCAGGCCGGAATCGCCCCAAATGACCGGCTAGTGGCTGTAGGTGTCTCTGCCAGCCGGATGGTGTTTCCCAACCATGCTGTGCTATCTCCACACCCCAGGGGTGCCGGCTCTCTACGCTGGCCTGACTCCCACCGTGCTGCGAGCATTCCCCTCCAACGGGGCCCTATTCCTGGCCTATGAGCTGACCAGGAGTGGCCTCAGCAGCCGGGTCAGCTGACTCCAGCATGTGGGCCAGAGTTCACTGGGACTGCCAGGGGGGGGGGCACTCAGTGACCTACGGTCGTCTTTTTTATTATCAAATGTCCTGCGATTCGCACAAACGACACACAGTCTGATTTAACATTATCTCCAAGAACACGTCAATCCCCAGAAAAACCTCATTACCTACCTCAGAATATTTATGCACATGCTGACAATCATGATAATAAGATTGTTTCAGTCTTAAGACAATTAATAATGAAAACGTGCAAACTTTAACCATGAAAAGGGGTGTACTCCAGTGCCAGGCCAAGGTCTTTAACTGGGATCGTTAGATGTCCAGGTATGTAAATGAACAAAAGCATCAGGTTAGCAACCATACATTCTGTGATTTCATGCTGTGTTTCTTATGATGTTATAATTTTATATGTAATTTTAAAAATCTTAAGTTTATATGTAGTGGGGTCAGAGGCTGTTGTGATGTTGTGTTGTGTTGAGCACTTAAATCTGAAAAGTCTCTCAGAACATAAAAATTCCATAAGTCTTCAACTAGTATATAAAGCAGCCTGGTTTAAGAGTGAAATGCTGCTTATTTGTATTAATTTGTGCTGCGATCTGTAACTGTAATGTAATTTAAAAGTGTTCCTTGTTAATAGTGTTTAGTTCATCATCGCATCTTGTTTACAGTGTTACTCATCGAATTGACATAATAAATTGAAAAATCTGCCCCTACCATATCGTAATGTGATAAAGGTTTCAGCTACAGATAAAAAAATAAAAATAATGACGTCAAGTGGTTAAACCTGGCATCTCTTACAAAAAACTCTTACAAACTTTTCAGCTGATATTTAATGACTACATATGTGTATTTTACAACTGGCTTCACAGAACAGTGAAAAAATAAAATCATATGAAGTAATTCTGGTAACAATTTACATTAATTGCACATTTATTTTTTTATTTTATTATTTTTTTTATATTTCCTCCACCACCCCACTCTGCGGAGGACTGCTTTATTTCTATTTATTTATTTATATTTACTTCGTCAAGAGAAGAGAGAAAACAACCAACATCTGTACGAATCACAACGAACATCAAACGTTAAATGATGTTGAACAGCACACACAAAAAGCATTACAACACATGCCCAGAAGCAACAACCGATCAAGACTGTGTGTGTCCGTGAGCACGTGTCCGTGAGCACCTGTGTGCACGCGTGTGTGTGTCAGCGCGCTGGTGTTCCTAAGGTTTCTCCATGTAAATGTCCAGTAGTGTGTGTGGGGAGCCACAGCCCCGCCCCCCAGGACAGGAAGCAGTTATGGAGAAGACCCGGGCCCCAGACATCCAGAGGCCCCCCAGGGCACGGGAACCCCAGGAGGACCACCACAGGGACAATTGCAGCCCCCACCCAGAAAAGGGCAGAGGAGCGCTCCGGAGGGGGGCCACATCACAGGAGCCCCAGGGGGCCGTGGCGGGGAGCACGCAGGCTCTGCTGGCGGCCAGCCACACCAGGGCAGACCGGACCCCGGGCCCAGAGATCCAAGGGCCCCCCCACCCCCCAGTCGGGGCCCGACAGAGCCGGGAGGGCCAGGCAACCGCCGAGAGTGAGCCAGCACACACCAGAGCATCCAACCCCGGACATCGAGAACCACCAACGCATCGGCAGCCGGGGGCCTCATCCACCGGCAGGGAGTGTGGCGGGGGGGAATAAAGCACCTTTATAATGCATTCATAGAGCATTCATAAGCAGCGTGTAAGTATACCTTAACATCCTAACACACCTTAACAGCTTGAATATACATTAACACAGATAATACATTTGATATACATTCATAAACATGATTATATGGTTATAATGTTTATTACCATATAATGTTTGTTATTAATGTGCATTAAAGATGTTAAGGTATGTTAGAATGTTAAGGTATAAATACACACCACTTATGAATGTTCTATGAATTCATTATGAAGGTGCAGTTAATGTAAAGCTTAACCGAAGTTTTAAATAAAAGCTGGCGTTTCTGATAAGACCTGTGCCCCAGTTTAGCCACGTTTTGTTTGTGATGATGTGTCTGATCAATATTTTAAATCCCCAGTGAACGTACCGCTAGGACAAGGAGGCCTGTCCTCTCTCACCTCATAGCCGTGTGCGCCGGAGTGAATAAAACAGTAAGGGATCCTGTTCATATCGGAAACCATTATAAAACGCTAATAAACCGTTTAAAGCAATTTAAAAGCAGAATACTGTGGTCTGTAGCTCCTGGGAGTTACGCGAATGTGAAAATCATCTGTCACCGCGAAGCGGTAACACCAAACCTCATTCATTCATTCAGTCTCAGAAATATAAAGGATGCAGCCAAACAAGTGCCCGGTGTAGCCCGGCTTTACCGCGGCACGGTGCTTAAGGCGGCGCCGGGAGCCGAGGCTCTGTGACATTTTCCCACCAGGTTGTCGATGACAGCGCCGGACCTTTAAACGTGCGCGATGGTCCGCAAAACGCGGCCTGTGCATCAGCGGAGCGTAAGCGAAGCTGCTTATTGCAGCGACGGCAAGGTAAGCGTATAATTCACTGCCACGATCTAATTAATAGTAATATAAAGTTTTTCTGTTTTGTGTTTCTAAGAAATAATGATTTTTTGGTGCCTTCACGTATACACTCTTATGCGAGCGTAAACGTAAGAGTTAGCCTATGCACTATTCAACTATTACCACAATACTTTATGTGGTCGTTATTACTATTATAAAATAAACTTTAATCTTAGTTTTAGCTTTACATTAGATCTTTGTGCTTTTAACTGAAATTCTTGGCGTAAATAGGTTTATATATAGCGGATAAACAGGACCTGTTTACTCTTTTATTAGGTATTCTGACACTAGACATGACTGACCTAACTCGTAAGATAAAACACCAGGCTGTTTGCATAGAACATTTGTCCACATGGACGGTGTTCACTCAGCCGTGCCACTGAAATTATCGAGTTTGTCTGAAACGCTGCATTCTCTATATTACCCCACTTGGCCGTTTTTAACGCACTGTTCTTGCGCTGTAAATAACAGTTTTATCTTTATAGCAGAGGTAGAACCGGCTCAGTTCAACCCGGTGAAAGATCATGCCTTTGGTCCTTAATGCCACATAATCCATTTTCTGCGTTTTGCAGCAATGCGGCAGATCCCTCGCTTTAATCTCATACATATGGATGGAGATGATGGGATGGGAGCGAGCCGGATGCGTTGGTGAGAAGGCCCTTCCAGGCCTTGTCCGGGAAGTACCGTCAAGGTACCTATTTTTAAATATGTAATTGATATCTTAGGCTCGTTATCTCACTTATGTAATAACCAAAGCTTAATTTGATCACAACAAATCCAATTATTATTAGGATTCATTATCACAAACGGCAAACCGATTAATAATTTATTCGCTTACGTAAGAGGATATATGTAGTACCTGTATTTCTTCACTAGATGGCGAAAATGAGTCGCACCACTGCCTTTAGAGCCATGCGCGAAGCAGCGCATTGAAGACACCTGTCTGTCTTTCAGTTGTCATTAAAACGGAGCATGAAAATACTCATATATACTGCACTTCACAGCCTTCTAACTTAGTTAAGTTCTTGACTGAAGAAACGTTGTCAGACCTGAATTCTGGCCGATTCTATCCTCTGTATTTTTTATAAGACGTTAACATCATCATTTAAAAAGTGCAGTATAAGTGGTTTTGAGTTATTGCTAAGTCAGTGTAGTTATAAAGCCATATTAACGTCCTTTTCGCAGTCAGGGTCAGCAGGATTCTTCTCTGAGCACTTTTCTTTGGCCAAATCCACATCAGCAGATTCCCTGAGAATGGCTGGTCCTCTTAACTGCATCATGAATCAGCTGTACGAATGGATGTGATTATGCTGGTTTGCTGCACCCTGCAACTGCGGCCACACAGGCTCTGTTATTGCACATTGCGCACGCCCCCCCCCCCCCCCCCCCCCCCCCCCCCACCCGGTGCTGGGAGGTGGGGGCTTGAAAAGGCCTCAGGTCTGATGGCCCCCCCCCAGACGGCCCTGGGTGGCTCTTCCAGATGTGCCTGCAGCTGCGTTGTCCTGCCCAGCTGTAATGTCCCATTTCCTGCACCAGTATGCAGGAGCACAAGGGGCTGAGTGCCTGAGCCACGCTCCCGTTCTCATACTCCCACGAACAGGAGATGCACCAGCCTCCCCCCACATGACAGCGGGCATGACAGACACTGTACTGTTGTCCTCTCTCTCCATTGACCAGCCTTCCCGGCAAGCCCCCGCAGCGTCCCTGCACAGCCCGGCATGCCCCCGCAGCCCCGCAGCGTCCCTGCACAGCCCGGCATGCCCCCGCAGCGTCCCTGCACAGCCCGGCATGCCCCCGCAGCATCCCTGCACAGCTCGGCAAGCCCCTGCAGCATCCCTGCACAGCCCGGCATGCCCCCGCAGCCCCCGCAGTGTCCCTGCACAGCCCGGCAAGCCCCCGCAGCATCCCTGCGCAGCCCGGCATGCCCCCGCAGCGTCCCTGCACAGCCCGGCATGCCCCCGCAGCGTCCCTGCACAGCCCGGCATACCCCCGCAGCCCCCGCAGCGTCCCTGCATAGCCCGGTTCCCCTGCGGGTCGGTGTACTGCAACACTCGTGTGTTTCTCCGTTCCAGCTACGTCAGCCACGCTTCTGATCCTCTCTGGTCTGAGGTGAGCGATCGATCATGCGAGCAGCTCCTGAGCACCTCTCCATCAGACAGAGCAAAGCACTCATGTACATTCTCTCCGCAGCCACATGTCTGGCCTTTGGGGCACGATGTCTGGCTCCAGTGCTGTTCTTCAGAGCAGGAGACCTGGGTCTTCTCATCCGGTGGCCAGGCACGTTGCAGTGGGCAGAGGTGAAAAGTTCAGGTCCAGAAAGTACAAATCCAGACCAAGATTTTATTTCAACCAACCAGTTGAGTACTCTGTGACTGTGACTCTTTTTAAACAACTGGATTGTTGAAATAAAATTTTGGTCTGGATTTGTACTTTCTGGATCTGAACTTTCCATCTCTGACAGTGAGGGCCCCACAGTCTACGCTTCTAGAAAGATCCAGGATCTTAATAGAATAATGATACTTTATAATTCCCTGTGGGGATACTGGGTACTTTTGCAGATCCCATCTTGCTCTCTATGAGACATACAAAGGTGAGAGTGATGTTAGGGGTCAAAGGTCGTTGTCAGCTGGCATTCAACACCCCTGCAGAGATTGCGTTGAGATTGCTCAAGGGCCCAACAGTGGCATGACATGCAGAGTCCTAACTTGCTTATATAACTGTAAACCAGTGACCAGTTATCTCCTGCAGAATAGTTATGACATAATAATGATCCAGAAATGTATTATTAGCAACTTTGATAAATTTGATGATAAATGTGACGGACATTAAGAGGACATAATGGCTGCAGAGTGAGAGCCCAGGACTGTTCCCGATCCCCAGGTGTCAGGCCTGCTTTCGGAAGGAGCCTCTCTTCCTTGGCCATTAAAGATCAGTTTACTGCTAAAACCCTCATTTTCATACCAGGTTGAGTCATCTGACCATCACACGCTGCCATCATTCAGGGCCCGGGCAGCACCCACAGCTGCTCAGGGCGAGGGCCCGTCTCCCCCCCCACACTGGATTTATCCTGCTGCTCCGTGGCTGT